GGGGAGGAGGAGGAAGACCGTGGGGTCCTTGGCGCTCTCTGAGTTTGGCGGTTTTCTTGCAGACATTTCACGACCCAACTAGGTAACGTCATCAGTGATGGAAGGGAGTGAGGAGAGGGGAGGATTGTGAAATTCTTGGTGCTCTCTGAGCTTGGTTGTTCGCAGACGTTTCATAACCCAACTTAGTAACATCATCCATCCTAGAAGGAAATGGGGTTTGCGGAAAGGAGGAGGAGGAGGAGGAGGAGGAGGAAGAGGAAGAGGAGGAGGAGGAGGAGGAGGAGGAGGAGGAGGAGGAGGAGGAGGAGGAGGAGGAGGAGGAGGAGGAGAATTGTGGGGTCTTTGGTGCACTCTGAGCTTGGTGGTTTTCTTGCAGATGTTTCATTACCCAACTAGGGAACATTATCAGTGCCAGAAGAAGGGAGGAGGAGGAGGAGGATGACGACTGTGGAGTCCTTGATGCTCTCTGAGTTTGGCTGTTTGCAGACGTTTCATGACCCAACTTAGTAACATCATCCATCCTAGAAGGAAACAGGATTTGCGGTGGCGGAAGAGGAGGAGGACGACGACGACGACAAATGTGGGGTCCTTGATGCTCCCTGAGCTTGGTAGTTCTCTTGCAGGCGTTTCATTACCCAACTAAGTAACATCGTCAGTGCTAGCATCTGTAGCACTGATGATGTTACTTAGTTTGGTAATAAAACGTCTGCGAGGAAACCACCAAACTCTGGGAGCACTGAGGACCCCACTGCAAAAAAAATGACCGTCCATCCTCTGAACAGCCCCCCTAAAAGTCCATTGTATCTCAAAGTGTCCAGACGAATCGAATTAATGACGGGAAATACATCTGTGTGTATTGTTCGTGTCACAGAGAAATGATTCAGACGTGTGTGTTGTTTTTTCCATAATGATGTTGTTTTGCAGGTGAGCTAAATGTGGATTTAACAGACTTTTGAGATCCACCTCTCCTCCCCTCCCCTCCTGTTAATCCAGGTGTTTACTATGTAATATAGGTAGTCCTCCACTTACAACAGTTTGTTTAGTGACCGTCCAAAGTTACAACGGCACTGAACAAAAGTAACTTAGGACCGTTGTTCACACTTACGACCGTTGCAGCATTCCCCGTGGTCACGGGATCAAAATTCGGATGCTTGGCAAGTGGCTCATATTTATGACGGTCGTAGTGTCCCGGGGTCTTACGTGATCCTTTTTCTGACGGGCAAAGTCAACGAGAAAGCTGGATTCGCTTAACAACCTTGTTACTCCCTTAACAACTCCAGTGATTCATTTAACAACCGTGGCATGAAAGGTGCTAAAAATGAGGCAAACTTCACTAATGTCTGGCTTAGCGACAGAAATTTTGGGCTCAATTGTGGTCGTACAATGAGGACTACCCGTATTTCTTTATTTCTTTAAGCTTTAAAATCGGATTTATCTCCCCTAAAATGCCCATGGGACGGCTTAAAAATAAGCAAAAACCAACAGTGGAATAAAGATGTATTTTGTACATTGGGATTAACAGTATTTAACAATGTATTTTGTACATTGGGATTAACAGTGGAAGGATAAAAGAAAAGGTTAAATTAGAAAATTGATAGCTATAATAATTGGGATATTGTTTAAGCATGTATAACAATTGTGATAATTTGAGGATTTATTACCTACGTGAAAAAGAAAAGAAAACTGAAACAATATATGATTATGATTTATAAACAAAAATTACTTAATTGGTATTATATAAATGGTATGGTTTGATAGATAGAATTTAGGATAATTGGGAAATTGTGTTGAAAAGCATTATTTGAACTAAGAACTATGTTTAAATGTTAAATTGCTATATTTCTAAAATTAAAAAGATAAGATTTAAATTTGATAAAGTAATAATGGAATAAAGATTTAATGAGCATAATGATATATAAATATGTTTGAATTGTATTGTTAATAGTGAGGATTTAGGGTAAGAATTGTTGTATTATGAGTTATTAATTGAATTAAGAATTAAGGTGAGTTAATAGAAGGGTTATTGTTTTGATTAAGTAAATATGTGTTAATTTTTTTAAGATGGTATTAGTTGAATATGTGATATAAGATTTAGAAATAAGTGCTATGGCAAAATAGTATAGATAAGTTTTTGTTAAAAATTGAACAAAGTGGATCAAAGCTCTGTTCCGAAAGGATGTAATTTGTATGTTTGGAAAAAAATAAAAAACCTTTTTGCAAAAAAAACAAAAAAAAACAGCAAAAACCGAGCGTATCGAAAATGCCATCCACACTATAAAACCGATCAAGTTGTTTTATCCCTGCCTGGGACTGACAAACGCATATTATTATTATTATTATTATTATTATTATTATTATTATTATTATTATTATTATTATTTAATCTTTAGTGAGATTCACAGCCTTTGAGGCTGGTTAATAGCTCAGCAGCTCGAGTCCTAACCAAGGACCTAGGAACTGTTCAGGTATCGTCGGAAGATGTAAGCTGTTCCGAGTAAGGTGGTTTTTTGGAGAGTCAAAATGTTCAAGTCCGGCAAATTTAGGATTTCTAAATAGCGGGGTAGCCCTTTGGGTATTGCTCCGAGGGCTCCAATTACAATCGGGACAACACACGATTTCTTTTTCCACAGTCGCTCAACTTCAATTTGCAAGTCCCGGTACTTTGTGATTTTTTCTTGCTGCTTATCTTCAATTCGTGCATCACCAGGTATTGCAATGTCAATTATTATTATTATTATTATTATTATTATTATTATTATTATTATTATTATTATTATTATTATTATTATTATTATTATTTTTATTATTATTATTTCAATTTATATGCCGCCTTTCTCCGGAGACTCAGGGCGGCTTACAATGCATTTAAAAAACCATTATAAAAACATTTAAAAATTATTATTATTTTTTTTGCTTTAATTTACATGCCACCCTTCTCCAGAGACTCAGGGTGGCTTACAATGCGTTAAGCAATAGCCTTCATCCTTTTGTATATTTATACAAAGTCAGCTTATTGCCCCCACAATCTGGGTCCTCAATTTACCTACCTTAGAAAGGATGGAAGGCTGAGTCAACCTTGAGCCTGGTGAGATTCGAACCTGCAGTAATTGCAAGCAGCAGATGTTAATAACAGTGCTTTAGTCCACTGTACTACAGGCTCCATTCAGGGTTTTAATATTTTATTAATATTTGGGGAAAGGATGCCATTAAAAGTGAAAAAGACACAACCTCTCGGCTGAGTTTACATCACAATCGAGGGCGCCCACTCAGATCACATAAGGTTTCATCACCAATTTCTAAATTCTTCGCCGCCTCCTCTTTTGGGATATGACACAGCTTCGATGGTGATCCTTTTAGCCTTCCAGTCACCAATTCCCCAACCGAAGGGTGGGGAGAATGGGAACTGGAGTCCCACTTCCTGGAAAGTTCCAGGTTGGGGAAATTGAGGTCATTTTTGAGGTGTTGCTTGGAGAACCCTGACAGTCACGCCCTTCCAAAATCGAATGTCTGTTGTTTCCTTTCTTCACACATCACAGATTGTCCTCAATTTACAACAGTTCATTTGGTGACGGTTCAAAGTTACAACGGCGTGGAAAAAAGGGACGTATGACCCAGTAGTGGGTTTCAAATCGCTTCGCTATCGGTATTGCGCGCTCGCGGCACTTCTGCACAGAGCGTTTTTGATGACGTCTGGGCGGGTGGGCGGAGCCTACCGCCACCGCCACTAGCGGTTCGCGCGAACCGGGAGCAACCCACCACTGCGTAGGGCCGTTTTTTCACACTTAACGACCGTTGCAGCAGGTCAGGTGATGAAAATTGGGACCCTTGGCAACTGGCGACTTTTTGACAAGCAAAATCCATGAGGAAGCCGGATTCACTTTACAAACGGTGTTACTAATTAAACAACTGCAGTCATTCGTTTAACAACTGTGACAAGAAAAGTCGTAAAGTGGGGCAAAACTCACTTAGCAACTGTCCCTGCTTAGGGACGAAAATTTGGGGCTCAATTGAGAGTTCGCAAGTTGAAGCCTACTTGTATTTCTATACAATATATATTTCTATTATTTCGGTATATTTCAACTATTATTTCTACATATATTTCTATTTCTATTTATTTCTATTATTTCTATTTCTATTTATTTCTATTATTTCTATTATCTCAATATACTATTATTTCTATTTCATTTCTATTTTCTTTTCTTTTTTTTTTTGACAAGTTTTATTGGTTTCCCCCCAATACACATCCACATATTTTTTGAAATAGAGTATTTATCATATATCATATCATATCATCATATCATATTATATCATATCATACATTTCATATCATATCATATCATATCAAATTCATCATATCCAAATATATTTTACTTAGTTTCTGCCAAAGTGTTCTTTTTCCATATTTGTTAATCAAATCTTAATTTTTTTATTCTTATTTTTATAAACAGTATCTTCTTTCTCCTTCAAATTCTATTTTTTCTATTCTCTTTTCATTATTTCTATTTATTTCTACTTCTATAATTTCTACATATTTCTATTTCTATTTATTTCTATAATTTCTATATTTCTATTTCTATCTATTTCTATTATTTTAATCTATTTCTAGTTGTTTCTATTATGTCGATACAACTTCTATTAGTTCTACTTCTATTAGTTCTATTTCTATATATTTTTATTATTTCTATTTATTTCTACTTCCTATTTCTGTTTCTAAGCCTGGCAACCTGAGAAACTCTCATCTCAAAAGCAAAGTGCTGAGCTGTCCTCCTTGAATCAGGTACAACAAGTTGAGAGCTATTCAAGCCATATTCCAACTACGAGAACTATAAAGTAAACAAAAAAGAATAAGGAATAAGCACATCCCTAACCACTTTGAATCTCTCCCAAATCTAAAAAATAAAGTCCAGAAAAGAAAAGAAAAAAGGGAAGTTAAAAAAAAAGAATTTAAAGAAAAAACATTACAAATTCCAGAAAGCAAAAGGATGAAGGCCCATCGTTACCTTCCTTACTGAAGCTCCATCAGCTGATAAAGGAATCGGGAGAAAATCAGAATAAATTCCACCTTTCTGCTAAACTTGGATTGATTCCATCAAAACCTCTGAGTCAAGATACGGCCGCCCCACGAAATAATCCTTAAAATTTGGGAATCCGGCGTTCCCCGGCCGAGTCAAGTGCAGTTTCCCTGGATAAATACACCTTGGTGATGCTTTCTTTTGACTTCACCTGAGCCGCAAAGGGTGGAGAGAAGGAAACTTGTTGGACCACAAATTTCTGAGGCACTCGGAAAATGTTTCCGCTGATAATTAGCCATGGAAATGAGGCTGACTCACGGGAGCGATGACTTCTGGATCCCTGAATTGCACGCTTGCAAAAAAAAAAAGTTTCATCCTTTCTGATCTCTTTTTGGCTTTCTTAATTGGCTGACGAGGAACGATTTCAATCGGAATAGAGCTGGAAGAGACCTTGGAGGTCTTCTAGTCCAACCCCCTGCTTAGGCAGGAGACCCTATAGAAATGGTTGTCCTATCTCTTCTTGAAAACCTCCAGTGATGGAGAAGGGAGGGAGGAAGGAAGGAAGGAAGGAAGGAAGGAAGGAAGGAAGGAAGGAAGGAAGGAAGGAAGGAAGGAAGGAAGGAAGGAGTTAGTAGAATTGTAAAATTAGGTTTAATAAATTGTGTTGCTTTTAGAAGAAAGAAGAAAGTGGAAGAAAGAAGGAGGAGGAGGAAGGAAGGAAGGAAGGAAGGAAGGAAGGAAGGAAGGAAGGAAGGAGTTAGTAGAATTGTAAAATTAGGTTGAATAAGTTGTGTTGCTTTTGGAAGAAAGAAGAAAGTGGAAGAAAGAAGGAGGAGGAGGAAGGAACGAAGGAAAGAAGGAAGAAAGGAAGGAGTTAGTAGAATTGTAAAATTAGGTTTAATAAGTTGTATTGCTTTTCAGAAGAAAGAAGAAAGTGGAAAAAAGGAGGAGGAGGAGGAAGGAAGGAAGGAAGGAAGGAAGGAAGGAAGGAAAGAAGGAAGGAAGGAGTTAGTAGAATTATAAAATTAGGTTTAATAAGTTGTGTTGCTTTTCAGAAGAAAGAAGAAAGTGGAAAAAAGGAGGAGGAGGAGGAAGGAAGGAAGGAAGGAAGGAAGGAAGGAAGGAAGGAGTTAGTAGAATTGTAAAATTAGGTTTAATAAGTTGTGTTGCTTTTAGAAGAAAGAAAAAAGTGGAAGAAAGAAGGAGGAGGAGGAAGGAAGGAAGGAAGGAAAGAAGGAAGGAAGGAAGGAGTTAGTAGAATTGTAAAAGTAGGTTTAATAAGTTGTGTTGCTTTTGGAAGAAAGAAGAAAGTGGAAGAAAGAAGGAGGAGGAGGAAGGAAGGAAGGAGTTAGTAGAATTGTAAAATTAGGTTTAATAAGTTGTGTTGCTTTTAGAAGAAAGAAGAAAGTGGAAGAAAGGAGGAGGAGGAGGAGGAGGAGGAAGGAAGGAAGGAAGGAAGGAAGGAAGGAAGGAAGGAAGGAAGGAAGGAAGGAGTTAGTAGAATTGTAAAAGTAGGTTTAATAAGTTGTGTTGCTTTTGGAAGAAAGAAGAAAGTGGAAGAAAGAAGGAGGAGGAAGGAAGGAAGGAAGGAGTTAGTAGAATTGTAAAATTAGGTTTAATAAATTGTGTTGCTTTTAGAAGAAAGAAGAAAGTGGAAGAAAGAAGGAGGAGGAGGAAGGAAGGAAGGAAGGAAGGAAGGAAGAAAGGAAGGAAGGAAGGAAGGAAGGAGTTAGTAGAATTGTAAAAGTAGGTTTAATAAGTTGTGTTGCTTTTGGAAGAAAGAAGAAAGTGGAAGAAAGAAGGAGGAGGAGGAAGGAAGGAAGGAAGGAAGGAAGGAAGGAAGGAAGGAGTTAGTAGAATTGTAAAATTAGGTTTAATAAGTTTTGTTGATTTTAGAAGAAAGAAGAAAGTGGAAAAAAGGAGGAGGAGGAGGAAGGAAGGAAGGAAGGAAGGAAGGAAGGAAGGAGTTAGTAGAATTATAAAATTAGGTTTAATAAGTTGTGTTGCTTTTGGAAGAAAGAAGAAAGTGGAAGAAAGGAGGAGGAGGAAGGAAGGAAGGAAGGAAGGAAGGAAGGAAGGAAGGAAGGAAGGAAGGAAGGAAGGAGAATAACAGAGTTGGAAGGGACCTTGGAGGTCTTCTAGTCCAACCCTCTGCTCAGGCAGGAGACTCTATACAAATGGTTATCCAATCTCTTCTTGAAAACCTCCAGTAATGGAGCATCCACAATTAAACAGAATAACAGTTGGAAGGGACCTTGGAGGTCATCTAGTCCAACCCCATGTTCAAGCAGGAGACTCTATACAAACGGCTGCCCAGTCTCTTCTTAAAAGTCTCCAGTGATGGAGCACCCACAATTTCTGGAGGCAAGCTGTTTCACTGGTTAATTGTTGTCACTGTTAGGAAGTTTCTCCTTAATTCCTTAATTTTTTTCAAGAATGTTTTGTTTGTTTGATCGCAAGTTGCGTTGATCAGAAACGAGGATCAATCTGTTGTCTGTGTGAATCAGAGGGTTGCGGAGAACTTTCTTTTTCCAATAAAAATTTAATACATTTTACTAAAATTTTAATTTTAATAATTTTTTTTAAAAAAATTAAATGTAATAAATGTTATAACTTCATAATAATGTTAATAATTTCTCAAATAACCAAAATAATGTAATCATTCAAATTCTTAAGAGAAATTCCTTGTGTGCCTAACCACACTTGGCCAAAGAAAGTAGAGATTAAACTTCAATTAAAATATATAAAAACTTTTCCTAAACATTTAAATACAGCTTGACTACAGTGAGATACGCTCTTAAATTAAGCGTTTGGCCCTATTCCTCATCATCTTTTTACATTTATTGTGAAACAAATCCCTCAGTTGTTTTTGAAGCTGTTAGAAAAATATGGGGGAGCTAGTATGATTTGGGGATATGAAATATTAAGCTGCCTCAAGGTTTTTTAAAGAAGAAACTCCAAGAGCTGCCTCTTGAAGATAATTGAGTGTGTTTTCCTGCACCTTGTGAAGGGTTAGAGTAGAGGATCTTTAGGGCACTTCCTTCAAATTCCACAGTTTTGGGACTTTATAATTTTATAAGATGGGGGAATTGTTTGCTCGGCTTTGGACCCTAAGCAGGTAATTTTACTGAGGCCAGAAAATACTTGGGAGATAGACTTCTCCCTACAAAAATGCACGTTGACAGCAGTTTTCAAATAGCCTAACATTATTCTAGCCAAAATTAATGTTGACTAAATGTGGCATTTCTCTTAAGGCCTTTAACGGTACAACAGAGACAAGTCACAAGAGTTTCCTGGGTTTGGGTTATTAACAGAATTGCAAAATGAGATTTAATAAGTTGTTGTTGCTGCTGCTGCTATTGTAAGAAAGAAGAAAGGACAAGGAGAAGGGAGGGAGGGAGGGAGGGAGGGAAGGAAGAAAGGAAGGAAGGAAGGAAGGAAGGAAGGAAGGAAGGAAGGAAGGAAGGAAGGAAGGAAGGAAGGACAGAAGGAGTTAGAATTGTAAAATTAGGTTGAATAAGTGTTGCTTTTGGAAGAAAGAGGAAAGTGGAAGAAAGAAGGAGGAGGAGGAAGAGGAGGGAAGGAGGGAAGGAAGGAGTTAGTAGAATTGTATAATTAGGTTGAATAAGTTGTGTTGCTTTTGGAAGAAAGAAGAAAGTGGAAGAAAGAAGGAGGAGGAGGAAGAGGCAGAGGAGGAAGGAATGAGGGAAGGAAGGAGTTAGTAGAAATGTAAAATTAGGTTGAATAAGTTGTGTTGCTTTTGGAAGAAAGAAGAAAGTGGAAGAAAGGAGGACGAGGAGGAAGAGGAAGAGGAAGAAGGAAGGAAGGAAGGAAGGAAGGAAGGAAGGAAGGATGGAGGGAAGGAACGAGAGGAGAATTCTAAAATTGGGTTTAATAAATTGTGTTGCTTTTGAAAGAAAGAAGAAAGTAGAAGAAAGAAGGAGGAGGAGGAAGAGGAGGAAGGGAAGGAAGGAAGGTGGGAAGGAAAGAGTTAGTAGAATTGTAAAATTAGGTTGAATAAGTTGTGTTGCTTTTGGAAGAAAGAAGAAAGTGGAAGAAAGAAGGAGGAGGAGGAAGAGGCAGAGGAGGAAGGAAGGAGGGAAGGGAGGGAGGGAGGGAGGGAGGGAGGGAGGAAAGGAAAGAAAGAAAGAAAGAAAGAAAGAAAGAAAGAAAGAAAGAAAGAAAGAAAGAAAGAAAGAAAGAAAGAAAGTGTTGCAATATTTTTAGGATCAGACTCAATAATAATAATGAGAGTTAGAGGTTTAAATATATTTCTCTTTAATTATAATAGGCATTCTATATTCACTGAATATTCACAGATAGAAGCAAAGAAAATGGTGAAGGTGGCTCCTTATATATACAAAGGGTGGAGCCAAGAGTGGGAGTGGTGAATTATGAATACATTAAGAGTCAAAGAATAAGTTAACCCCTGATATCCCATATATACATTATTTACACATTAGGGAATAAGGCATTTACATCTGACAAATCCCCTCTAAATGCCGGTTCGCTATACAACACCAATTACATTCAGATTCAGGACAATATAAGACATACAATTTGGAAGTTAAGTATTTGTGCTGTTTAGAAGGTAAAGGCTTCGTCAATATGTCAGCTAATTGTTCAGAGGTATCACAATGCACTGCTTTGATAAATCCATCTTGAGACAATTGTCTCACATGCTTAAATTTTATATCTATATGCCTGGATCTTTGTCCAATGGCATCGGATCTAGATATTTCAATGGCCGCTTTATTGTCTTCATGCATAACAAAAGGCAAAGCAGGTTTTTTCCAAACATCTGAAATTAAATCATTAAACCATACAAGGTTATTTGCAGCTTTGGATAAACAAACATATTCCGCTTCTGTGGTTGAAGTGGCTACCAGTTCTTGTTTACCAGTGTACCAGTAAACTGGACAGTCATTTAACAGAAAAATATAACCAGAAGTACTTTTTCTGCATGATATATCTCCAGCCCAATCCGCATCTGCGTAACATGTAAGTTTTGGTTCTTTATTATCACTAGGTTCTAATACTAGGCAAAAGTCTAATGTACTTTT